TTCTCTCCTTTTCTCCACCTTCCCATTTTGTTTTCCTTTTTTGCTGGCTTAACTATGAAGTTGGGATTCCATGTCCATAAATTGTACACTCTGTATCACTTGCCTCTGTTGTAATTAATATTTGGCTGGCATAAATTGCTAATTACAAAGTTCTTCAGTGAATTCAGCACTGAGTATTTTATTATCCATTTTATACTGCTCATGTCAAAGAGTTTATTAGAATAAATTCTTCTCTTTTTATTTGTTAAAAGAATTTAGTATAAGGGGAAATGAAAAGATATAAATAATTCTAGTTGGTCACTAACTATATTATGATCAAAATAGTTACACATAACTTAAAATTTGACAACATGAAAACGTAATCTGCTTTTTTAGAAAAAAATATTTTTTGTTTATAAGAAAGTTTGTTTAGAAAGTATCTGTTATTATGTATTAGAAGTATTGACTAAATATGCTTTTCATGTTTGAATAAGGCTTCTTTCCCCTTTAATCTAGGTGTTACTGGGGATATTGTTTCGAGAGCCTTGCAACAGAAGATCCTCGGAGATCTGATGGAGAAGGGATACATCATGTTGATGCCAATGTTGAATATTGTGCTGTAGTTAAGACAAAATTAGGAGCACATCGTGTTTTAATGGGGGCTGAAATGGACTGCTGTGATTCAACTGATGATGGGAGGAGGTTTTATGTGGAATTAAAGACTAGTCGCGAGGTATGCCTTCCTGCTGGGATCTCTTTCTCTCTTCATTCTTTTCTGATATTTAACTTTTATATCTTATTTCTGTTATTTACAGCTGGAGTATCATACAGAGGAAAAGTACGAGAGGGAGAAATTGCTCAAGTTTTGGGTATTGACGATGGAAACACATCTTTCATGCTCTTTAGCAGATTCTTTCATGCATCTTATGCGTATTTATGTGTGCTTTAAATGCCAAATCAATAACACATTAACACAAGGATAAGTTTTTCTATGTTGCTACTATTCCAAGTGAAAACTAAATTATGTTAAGAGATGTATGAGATAGGAGACAAATATCACACCCAATAAAAAGAAGAGATAGGAGACAAATGAATAATTGAAAAGGGAAAGCAAGGGGTTTGCCCAGTGGTTTGGGCTTGGGACTTCCATGTTGGTGGTCTCAAGTTCGAAACCCCTTGCCAGCGAAAGCAAGATTGCCTAGTGCGGATTATCTCTCCTATGTGGTTTGCGAGCTATTGCATAGGAGCGGGGGTTTTACCCTGTGCGCACCCAAAGGGTAGCGGCTGCGGGTTTCCCTTGTCATCAAAAAAAAAAAAAAGGGTAGAAAGAGGGGGGAGGTGTATAGGATTGAAAGTATTATCGAGATCATTACACATTCTTTTCTTGAGTAGGCTTGTTCTTTTTTGCATGAACTGTGGAGTCAAGGTTTCGTCCTTGTGAAATAGTACCGGCAGCACTATGAGTTATTTTTCCCAAGGAAAAAAAAAGAAAGAAGGAAACGCAAGTTTGTGCTAGAAACTGGAACTATTGATAAATTTGATAAATGCAGGCTTCCTTAGAGTTGTTGGCATCTCCAAATTTAAGTTTATATGCATGAATTTAGGGAAGTTCTATCTAGACAAGGAAATTTAGTGAAGCTTTGCTTTCTGCCATCATGTAGTGGGTTTCCATTTTATCCTGTTTCATTGTGGATGCTATGAATATGACTTTGTAGGTTATATAAACCTCTTTGCATAAGAAATACTCCCTCAGTCCTGTTTTAACTATCGGATTTAGCTCTTTTCACGCCCATCAAGAAAAATAATAAATACAAGATATAATTTGCTAAGTTACCCCTATTTATTAGATTCCTTTTGAGTATGTATTAAAAGAACTACTCCTTCTGTGCCAATTTATCTGGCAAACTTTCTGTTTTAGTCTGTAAGGAACAACTTTACTTGAAAAATTTCCTTTTACCATTAATGAAATGATTTATTGACACACAAGCGTCTAAGGTTTGTTTTAGACCACAAATTTCGAAATTTTTCTTTCTTAAACTTTATCTAGTCAAACAGTGTCACATAAATTGGGACAGAGGGACTACTTCTTTAACATTAAAGGTAGAGTTGGAAACAATTTTCTACTTTAGTCTTGAATTCTAGGATGATCTTTTTTAGCCAAAACAATAGTTAAAATGGGACCGTGAGAGTACTAATTTTTCTCTTGAGTCCAGAACAGTCTGAAATCTAATTGTTTTTATCTTTGATCAATTCAAACTTGATTATTGATTTAACTTGGTTCATGCAATCACTTGTCCGGAATCTAGTAAATTCACAGAACACAGTTAGATATAGTGAGGAATCAATGTAATAATTTTAAAGATTGTACTTCATTTATCAAAAGACTATGTGCACCTCATATATTCCCAGTATTTCAGCCCTCAGGGCCTAGTACAAGTGGCAAAGGTTGTGAGGGACTTGCGAGCCCTGCACCATGTGGCCTAAACCTAGTATATCTTAAATTTTGTAGATTTTCATTTGTTTGAAGCTTTTTAGCTTTCTATTTACTTTACTTATGTATATTCCCTTTGTTGCAGATCCAGTCATTTCTTGCGGGTGTACCTTATATTGTTGTTGGTTTTAGGTAAATTTACATGCTGTGATCTTCCATCTTTGCTTTTGCTTTTCCTTTTTTAAGGTTTGAGGTACAGATCTTGCTCTTTTTCTTTAATCTGTTATGCAACTTAAGGGTAATGCCTACCCTTCCTAGACCCCTCATTTGTGGGACTATACTGGGTTGGCGGTTGTTGTTATGCAACTTAGTGTCACGAGTTTCTTCTCTTTCGTCTCTGCATTAATTTTCAACAAATAATGAGAATGTTACTTTTCTGAACAAAAAAATGGGATTGTTGGTATTTAGTGATGAAATTTTTTACTTATTTAATAAAAGAAATGCTCAGTAATCATCTTCATAATCTTAATTACTAGTGTGTTCTTACAGTGTGACTGGTTACAACCTAAATTAAATTTGTACAAATATTTTTTGATAAATGACGCAAGGTTAACTTTATGAATCTGTAATTGTGTTATACTGTAGGGATGATGCTGGTCGTCTAGTTCGCACAGAAAGATTGAGAACTAAAGATATAACACACAGAGTAAAGATGAAAAATTACTGGCAGGTATTAATCTCTTTGTTTCTACATGCATAAATGCCTGGTAATTAAACTCCAGTTCTCATGTCTCTTGGCTGTTGGTGTGGTAGGGTGGAGTGTGCTTAGCATTTGCAGACGAAGTCTTGTGCTGGCTCTACGGGACAGTAAAAGAAAGTAAGGACACGAGTAAAACTTCTCTAGTGTCTCGTCATTTGAAATGTTTTCAGATCTCTGATGCTTAGTTTGTTTATTTGTGAACGATATTGTGATTTCAGATGAAGACTACATATTGCAGTTTACGCAACATTCTACGCGTTTGGAGCTTCTTCAAGCTCAGTCCTGTCCTGATGCAATAACAGACCATGTTCAACAGTTAAATTCTTCAACAATTCCATAGCATAGCGATGTTCGATGAAAGAGTAAGAACGTTCCCCTTTTCTTTTGCGGAATTTTTGTATCAACTGTAATCAGTTGTAAATTTCCTTTTTTTTTTATGATGCAAGAAACTACACCTCCGTTACATCGAGTCTTACCGGAGCAAATTATAATGACACTACAGTGTAGCAGTTATAAACTGAAATGGTCACAAGAATTTGAATTCTCAATTTTGTTCTTTTAATTGTGTATTCGAAGGAAGTCATCTCAATATCTACAAAGATTTTTTGAAAGAAGTTGCCAAGGATGCATTATAGCTTTATCTGAAAAGATATTTTTTCTTACTATTAACACTGAAAATAAAGATGATTCGATGATGAAGACGACGAAGATACAAAGGTGCACCCTCTACATGAAGAAGGGTTTGATAGGGTTCAATAAGTGTGGTGAAATATACTGCAGGAGTTACATGTGTTCAGAGCGACATGTATGCACTTTCGATTTCAAATTGATCTCAAATTTTCAAGGGTTAACAAAATTAATTGGAAGAAATAAAAAAGTAAATTAACATTGCCATTCATTTTTGTCAAAAAAATAGTAATCACACGCACTGACAGTGGATTATGCGTTTGAATTACGTTAAAACTTAAAACGAACTTGTAATTTAGTTTAAGGGTGCGTGTAATTAGATCAAGGTGTTGATTATTTTATTTTATTTACAAAATTAAATTATGTTGATCTACAGTTATAAAGTAAATTTTCTCAGTAAATATGATATGGTGACCTGCAAAATTAAAGATTTACTTATCATAGTCGATTAAGTTAAATTGATCGATGGTATAAAATTATGAGGCAAGAGGCAAAATAATAACTCATTCTGTAACGTACCACACCCAATATAAGAACACTTGATACTTTCGTTTCAATTTTTATGTGATCTAGTTTGACTTGACATGAAGTTCAAGAAAAAAAGATTATTTTAAAAAAAAAATTGTGTTCTAAAATAAGTCAGAGATCGATGTTTGTGTGACTATAAAATATTTTATTAAGAATAAAATAGACATTTTAAGGTTAAGTTATTACTAAATAAAAAAATGTACCTTTTTTTGAGACCGACTAAAAAGAAATATAAAACTTTGTAAGAATTAGACGGATGAGGTTATGACCTCCTTTTTAGCTCATTTCCACCCAATCTAAAATTAAAGTGGATCAACGATCCATCTATTTATTAACCTATTTTGACATTATTAAATCTAATTTAACCCGCCCATTTAAAAATCTTAGTTGCACCTATTCTTTGCGTAATTTCATTGGAAGAAACTTCTTCTATGGTTGTTAGGGTATATCTCAAGTTGGCAATTTTTATTTTAGAAACATAAAGGTGTAGACTTTATGAAATGGAAAGTTGTTCCAAAACCATTAACTTAGAAAAATAATGATCTCTTATCGTGAATTAATCATGACATTTGAATATGTCTGATCTCCACTTGATGAGGTGTGCAAGAAGAAAACATGGTTGATAGGTTCAATCACAAGTGTGGTGAAATATATTCACAGGGATATGTGTACATTTTCGATTTCAAGTCAACAGTATTTTTGAATTTGGCTAAGGAAAATCCTCTATGCAGGGCTGCTAAGAGGCGGATTCAAGTTTTGAAGTTTATTAGTGAGAATGAAAAAAGTATTATGTATGAATCGTCATGTTGACTTGGGTGCGTGTACTAGGTGAAGGTGGAAATTGACTTGGGTGATCATACTGTATGTATAAAAACTAGTTCTGGGAGGGAACGTGCGTGCGTTACACGTTTCACCCCTGCTGCTATATAAAGATGGATATACTACAAGTTCCAACTTAGTTAGACATATCCAATGGAGTACCAAAAATTGCTAATAGCTTTCTGCTTCTATTCACTTTTTGTCCAACAATCTCAGCTTACATATGCTGGGAAACATCTCTGTCCCCGCGATGAGGCTTTTTATTTGCTTCAATTTAAGCAAGGACTCACAATTGGTTGAAATGTTCACTATTGTGACGAAGACAACTATGCCAAGACTTTTTCCTGGAATGTTACAGGAGATTGCTGTGAATGGAATGGTGTTACTTGCAATGGATTTACGGGTCATGTCATAGGACTTGATCTTTCTTCGAGTTGTCTTAGTGGAACCATCCATGCTAACAATAGCCTCACAAAACTTGTTCATCTCCAAAGACTCAACCTTGCTTTCAATGAGTTGAATGGCTTTCCACTTGGAAATAGTATTAGTGAACTCACTAGTTTGACGCATCTCAATCTTTTGGATTCTGGATTTCTGAAAGGGAAGATGATTCCACCAGGATTATCCAAGTTGTCTAAGTTGATTTCACTTGACCTCACCTGGAATTTCATCCAAGTTGGCCAAACAACCTTGAGAAGTTTTCTGCACAACTTAACCAACTTAGAGGTACTGTTGTTTCGCAATGTGCATGCACCATTTGAGTTACCTAATAATTTTCCTTCTTCCCTTAGGAAACTAAGTCTTGAGGGCACCGACATGTTTGGGAACATAACTGATTCTCAGCTTTTTCATCTACCAAACTTGCAAGTCCTGAGATTGGGATGGAATCCTTTAATAACAGGCACTTTGCTGAATTTTAATTGGAGTTTCAGTAAAAGTATTTTAGAGTTGGACTTTTCCCATACTGGTATTTTTGGGAAGGTACCTGATTCAATTGGTAATCTCCATTCTCTTTGCTATTTAGATCTCTCTTCCAACAGTTTATCTGGCTCGATTCCAGAATCCTTTGGCAATCTCACTGCAGTCACAGAGTTGACGCTTACAGGTAACAGCTTCACTGGTAATGTTCTCTCAACTATCTCAAAATTAAACAAACTTGTTCATTTAGATCTCTCATACAACCATTTTCAAGGCTCATTTCCAGAATCCATTGGCAACCTCACAAAAATCATAAAGTTAACGCTTCAATGTAACAACTTCACTGGTACTGTTCCCTCAACTATCTCGTTAAGTTAGATCTCTCTTTCAACCATTTTCAAGGCTTGATTCCGAAATCCATTGGCAACCTCACTGCAATCACACAGTTGAAGCTTTCAACTAACAGCTTCACCGGAACTGTTCCCTCATCTATCCGAAAGCTGAACAAACTTCACTCCTTATCTCTCTCTCTCAATAATTTTGAAGGCCCGATTCCAGACATCTTTGCCAACTTTTCAGAGCTAGATACTTTAGATTTTAAAAGAAACAATTTCACTGGCCCATTCCCCTATTCAATTGCAACCTTGACACGCCTTGCGAGTTTAGAGTTGCAAAACAATTCACTAACTGGTCCACTTCCCTCTAATATAAGCGGACTTCAAGAGCTGTATAATCTTGATTTGTCCTTCAATTATTTCACTGGCACAACACCCCCTTGGTTATTCCTTCTTCCATCCTTGCTTAATTTATATGTTCAACACAATCAATTTACTGGATTGCCAAATGAGCTTAAGAGAAGTTCTTCAGATTTCACTGATGTTAATCTTTCATACAACCAGTTGTACGGCAAAATCCCTGATTGGATATTATCTTTGAGAATTCATAGCCTGGATATCTCTTATAACTTCCTCACAGGCTTTGTAAAACAAGAATGGAGTTCAACGGATTTGTGGTCGCTTAATTTGGAAAACAATTTTCTTCAAGGGCCTTTGCATCAATCCATTTGTGACTTGATTTACCTTAAAGTCCTCATTTTGGCTCAGAACAATTTCAGTGGTTCAATCCCAGGATGTTTAGGTACTCCCAATAGCTACATTTTTATTTTAGACTTGCGAATGAACAATTTTCATGGAGAGATACCAAGATTCTTACATAGAGGGTTACAATATCTCGGTGTGTATGGCAATCAATTGAGGGGACAAGTCCCGCGATCCTTGGTTAACTGTACAATCTTGGTAGCTCTTGATTTGGGGAACAACATGTTAAATGACACGTTCCCCATATGGCTGGAGAAACTTCCAAACCTACAAGTTCTGATTCTTAAATCAAATCTCTTTCACGGTCCAATTGGTGATCTGGAGTCTGAGTTTCCATTTCCTGAGTTACGGATCTTTGAACTTTCCTGCAATGGGTTCACTGGAACTTTGTCATCTAATCTTTTCAAAAGTTTCAGAGGCATGATGAATGTGGATGAAGAAAAAACAGCAAGTACAAGCACTGACACGGATTACCTTTACAATATTAGTTTGGTGATAAAAGGTAATGAGTATGATATGAGAATCACGTCAATTATGACGAGTGTTGATTTATCAAGCAACAGGTTTGAAGGAGATATTCCAAAATCCATTGGAAGTCTGAGCTCACTTGTGTTACTCAACCTGTCTCACAACAGCTTCCGTGGTCATATTCCTGCAGAATTTGCAAAGTTGCAGGCGCTCGAAGCATTAGATCTCTCATGGAACAGACTCATTGGGGAAATTCCAGGTCCATTGTCGAGTTTGACATTTCTTGAGGTCTTAAACCTTTCCTACAATCATCTGGCTGGGCGCATTCCTATTGGGAAACAGTTCAATACATTTCCAAATGATTCGTATTGTGGAAATCCTGATTTGTGTGGATTTCCACTGTCAAAAGAATGTGGAAACAATAATGAATCACCACTTGAACACAATGATGATGATGATGATGATTCATTTTTTATGAGCGGGTTCACATGGGAAGCTGTTGTAATAGGTTATGGTTGTGGTATGATATTTGGATTGTTGATGGGAGGCCTAATGTTCCTACTGGAGAAACCAAAATGGTATGTGAACTTTGCTGAAGATATTGCTCAACAAATTGCTGCTAACAAGCGAACAGGGCAAAAGAAGAGACGTCAAAGAAGAATGAACTAGTAATACACCAGGTATGCATCAAAACTTTTTGTAGCTATTTATTGGATAACTTTGTTATAGTTTCCTAAATATTGAAAAACTCAATTTGTGTGTGCAGAGGTAGCTGGAGAGTTGGACAAGTTTATTAGCAATGGATGCATCTGTTACAGTTGATTTCTATAGTTGTCTCGTAATGTATTGTATCATATTGTATTGTGTTTTATTGTTAGTTCGGCAATATGAATCCTCTATTATCTACTAGTTTAATGCAACATATAAATCCTCATATGGTTAATTGAAAAGTTACATACGGTTTCAAATAGAAAAAGAAGCCTATGAATCGAAATTAGTACTATAAAATGTGTCAACATCTCAATTGGTTTGGTTTACAATGCGAGTAAACTAAAGAGTTGTTGTTTGAGGCCGCCCAACTACAACTTTCATGGAGGCTATTTCAGAGATCTATTTTTTATATTGCCACTGAAGATATCGGTCATTAAATCGAAAAAAAATTAATGTTTGATAACAAAATCAATTGATATGTAAATAGGGTCTAAACAGGGCCAAATGGGGCAGAATTGAAACAGGGCAGACAGCAAAACAGAGCAAGTCGAGGCAAACTTTAGCGGGACAAGACTTTAACCCACCCCCGCCCATTGTCATCCCTAATCGCTAGATTTATACTAGGCAAGAGTTGGAAATTACACTAAGTGACCTTGAAAAGTGATTTTAAACTTTTAACCTCTTTTGCCTTTTAACGGAAAGCTTAAAGTTTCGCCCACAAAACAAACAAGGTCAGAAGTTCAAGATCATCCAACTTTCAAGGTCATTCTGGTAAATCACCCTTTCTTTGTGCATATAATTTCATTGTAAGCAAAAATTTTTTGGGTTGCTACAATTCATCTTCCAGTCCAATATGATTACTCTATTATCAATATCTATCTCACTCTATTTGGGACCATTTTATTCTAGAAAGAAGCTAAACCCTACCATCAAAGCTCAATTCTTTTGCTGTAGAAACGGATAATAATAAAGGAAATTGGGTGCTTTCTATTTTAATAAGGAAACATGTTTTAATTTGCCCCGGTGGCCGTCAAGTAGCCCGATGCACAAAATATCTTGCATTAATAGGATTGAGAAAGATTGCAATTCAAGAAATGTGATGCGGATAATCTAGCTAACTTAATACAAGTATTAATAGTTGCTTTCATGACTCAAATTTTTGTTATGAAAACTGTTCAAGAAGATTGTCAAAGTTATCTATAATACTTTTGTCATTACTTTTTTATTTTCTCTATACTTGTATACTACTTTGGACTGTTTTTTTTTTTACCGTGGCTAAGGATCTATCAAAAACAATATCCTGAACTCTAAGATAGAAGTAAAGTTTACATATACTTTACCCTCCTCAAAACTACTTTGCTAAATTACACTAGATATATAATTATGCCAATTGCATAGAATATTTTTGTCCAAATGATACTAGAGTTAGAAAAAAAAAACTTTATAGGACAATACAAATATATTAGAGTAGTATTATAATAGAAGCCTAGTTTAAACACAATCCATCCTAGAAAAGGTGGTTGCGTAAATCAAATACTCTTTTAATATCTGTGAACCATATATTTATTTTTTTAACAATATCAAATTTTGTTGATCTACAGTAATAAATGAATCTTCTCAGTAAACGTGATATGTGACTTTGGAAAATAAAATATTCTTATTATAGTCGATTATATTAAATAAAATAGTATAAAAATTATATAATAAAGATCTATGAAAAAGCCATCTTCTTATATCACTATATCGTAACAAAAAATCTACAGGGCAGCTCTGCCCAGCAAAATACCAATACTTATTAATGGTCTGGCTGATTTAAGATCATAAAATTCAAAACTCTTCTTTATTTTTTTAAATTCCGTGCAAATTCAAAAATAAGACAAACATACTCAAATTGCACCTAGTTGCACCCATTCAGCCCAATCCGCCCGTTTGATTACACCTAGTTGCACCTATTCTTTGCTACTGCTATGTAATTTCATTGGAAGAAACTGTTTCTATGGTTGTTAAAGGAGTTGGCAATTTTCTTTTAGGAAATTGACTTGGGTCAACAACAATAATGCATTATTGATCACACTATATATACAACAAGTTCGTAGCTAGTTAGATATATCAAATGGAGTGCCAACAATTGCTAATAGCTTTCTGCTTCTATTCACTTTTTATAATTTTTTCCCAACAATCTCAGCTTACATATGCTGGGAAACATCTCTGTGCTCGCGATGAAGCTTTTTATTTGCTTCAATTTAAGCAAGAACTCAGAGTTGATTCAAATTCTGAGTACTGTGACAACAAGGCCCGAACCAAGAATTTGTCGTGGAATGTTACAGGAGATTGTTGTGAATGGGATGGTGTTACTTGTGATGGATTTACGGGTCATGTCATAGGCCTCGATCTTTCTTCGAGCTGTCTTTGGGGAACCATCCATGCTAACAGCAGCCTAAAAAAACTTGGTCATCTCCAAAGACTAAACCTTGCCTTCAACATGTTGAGTGACTTTCCACTTGGAAATAACATTAGTGAACTCAGTAGTTTGACGCATCTCAATCTTTTGCATTCTGGAAATATAATGCACATCCCACAAGTATTATCAAACTTGTCTAAATTGGTTTCACTTGACCTCTCCTGGCATTTGGCTGTATTCCAATTTGGTCAAACAACCTTCAGAAGTTTGCTTCAAGACTTAACCAATTTGGAGGTACTGTTGCTTGACTACGTTAACGCACCTAACCAATTTGGAGGTACTGTTGCTTGACTACGTTAACGCACCATTTGAGTTACCTAAGAACCTTTCTTCTTCCCTTAGGTACTTAAATCTTCAAGGCACCGGCATTTTTGGGAACCTAAGTGAGTCTCAGATTTTTCATCTACCAAACTTGCAAGTGCTGATATTGGGAGAGAATCCGTTAACAGGCACTTTGCCGAATTTCAATTGGAGTTTCAGTGGAAGTATTTTAGCGTTGGACTTCTCCGATACTGATATATTTGGGAAGGTACCTCATTCAATTGGTAATCTCCATTCTCTTTTATATTTGAACCTCCGGTATTGCAATTTATCCGGCTCAATTCCGGAATCCATTGGCAACCTCACTGCAATCAGAGAGTTGAGACTTACAGGTAACAGCTTCACTGGTAATGTTCTCTCAACTATCTCAAAATTAAACAAACTTGTTCATTTAGATCTCTCTGACAACCATTTTCGAGGCTCGATTCCAGAATCCTTTGGCAACCTCACTGCAATCAGAGAGTTGGATCTTTCAGTTAACAGCTTCACCGGAAATATTCCCTCAACTATCCAAAAGCTGAACAAACTTAGCTACTTATTTCTCTCTTCCATTAATTTTGAAGGCTCGATTCCAGACATCTTTGCCAACTTTTCAGAGCTAGATACTTTAGATTTTCAAAGTAACAATTTCACTGGCCCATTCCCAGATTCAATTGCAACGTTGACACGCCTTGAATTATTATACTTGCAAAACAATTCACTAACTGGACCACTTCCCTCTAATATAAGCAGATTTCAAGAGCTACAAATACTTGATTTGTCCTTCAATTACTTCACTGGCGCAACACCCCCTTGGTTATTCCATCTTCCATCCTTGTTTTCTTTAAATGTTCAACACAATCAATTAACCGGGAAATTGCCAAATGAGCTCAAGAGTAATTATGTAGAATACTCTAACATTGATCTTTCATACAACAAGCTGCAAGGTGAAATTCCCGATTGGATGTTTTCTACAAGCATGGGTAGACTGGATCTTTCTCATAACTTCCTCACAGGCTTTGAAAAACAAGTATGGCACTCAGGGTTCTTACAATACCTTAATTTGGAGAACAATTTTCTTCAAGGGCCTTTGCATCAATCCTTTTGTGACTTGATTTACCTTGAATTCCTCATTTTGGCTCAGAACCACTTCAGTGGTTCAATTCCAGGATGTTTGGGTAACTTCAGTAGCTCCATTCTTGTTTTAGACTTGCGAATAAACAATTTTCATGGAGAGATACCAACATTCTTACCTACAGGGTTACAATATCTTGGTTTATACGGCAATCAATTTAGGGGACAAGTCCCGCGATCCTTGGTTAACTGTACAAGCTTGGAAGCTCTTGATTTGGGGAACAACAAGTTAAATGACACGTTCCCCATATGGCTGGAGAAACTTCCAAACCTACAAGTTTTGATTCTTAAATCAAATCTCTTTCATGGTTCAATTGGTGATTTGGAGTCGGAATTTCCATTTCCTGAGTTACGAATCTTTGACCTTTCTTTCAATGGGTTCACAGGAACTTTGTCATCAAATCTTTTCAAAAGTTTTAGAGGTATGATGGATGTGGATGAAGAAAAACCAGGAATTACTCGAGCTACTAATAGGACTCACAGAGATTACCTTTACCATGTTAGTCTGGTGATAAAAGGTAATGAGTTTGATATGAGAATCACTTCAATTATGACGAGTGTTGATTTATCAAGCAACAGGTTTGAAGGAGATATTCCAAATTCCATTGGAAGTTTGAGGTCACTTGTGTTACTCAACCTGTCTCACAACAGCTTCCGTGGTCATATTCCTGCAGAAATAGCAAAGTTGCATGAGCTCGAAGCATTAGACCTTTCATGGAACAGACTCATTGGGGAAATTCCAGGTCAATTGTCGAGTTTGACATTTCTTGAGGTCTTAAACCTTTCCTACAATCATCTGGCTGGGCGCATTCCCATTGGGAAACAGTTCAATACATTTCCAAATGATTCGTATTGTGGAAATCCTGATTTATGTGGATTTCCACTGTCAAAAGAATGTGGAAACAATAATGAATCACCACTTGAACACGATGATGATGATGATGATTCATTTTTTATGAGCGGATTCACATGGGAAGCAGTGGTAATAGGTTATGGTTGTGGTATGATATTTGGATTGTTGATAGGAGGCCTAATGTTTCTATTGGAAAAACCAAAATGGTATGTGAAATTTGCTGAAGATATTGCTCAACAAATTGCTGCTAAGAAGCGAACAAGGCAAAAGAAGAGACGTCAAAGACGTGGTCTTAGAATGAATTAGCAATATACCAGGTATGCATCAAAATCTTTTGTTTTGTATGAGGAACAACACTATTTCTGTAGCTGTTTATTGGATAACTATATGTCAATTGTTTATATTTTTCCTAAATATTCAAAAACTCAATTTGTCTCTGCAGAGGTTACTGGAGAGTTGCACAAATTAATTAGCAAGTTAGTGTTGATGTTCTGGCAAATATCAATGGATGCATCTGTTTGTTCACATGGTTGCCAAATACATAATAAGTTACAGTTGATTTCTATAGTTTTGTGGCAAATAATAAATTAGCTATAGACATAGCAACCCCTACCCTCTGTTTGGATGGTTGTCTCATAATGTATCGTATTATATTGTATTGTATTGTTAGTTTGGCAATATGAATCCTTTGTTATCTATATCTATCTCGCTCTCTAAAGGACCATTTTATTCTTGAAAGTTAGCTCAACCCTACTTACAAATTCAAATTGAGTCACACAAAAAGGAAATGTACGAAGCAAATATCAAGGATCATGTCCTAAGTGAGACGGAAACTCGAAAAAATCCAAGATTCTTTAGCAAAAATAAGCCTAAAGAATATATCTTTTAGTACATAAAATTTACAACAAAGATGTAATCAAGATAGTCCCAATTAATGCAGAAATTTCAAACTGCAATTCCAAAAAAAAAAAAAAACTCGAGAAAAATCCCAAAACTTTAAAGTATTGGTAGAAGTTTACCTGGTTAAGAATTTTGAAGAACGCTAACGCAGTCTCCATTTTGTAATCTCAAAGCTCAATTATTTTTCTTTCGTTTCTCTAACTATAGTACTAATAGAAAAAATTGGGTGCTTTTTCTATCTTAATAAGGAAACATGTTTAAAATTTGGCCCTTATGCACCCGGACATCCCGATGCACAAAGTATTCTTCATCTTTATTACTATCACAATTCAAGAAATATGTACTACGAGAGGTGTGTGATACAGGTATTAATCGTTGATTTCATGACTAAAAAACTTGTTACGATTACTCTTTAGGAAGATTTGTAAGGTTGTCTATAGTACTTTGTCAATACTTTTTCTTTTCCGTTGTTTATTTCTCTATGTTGCTTTGACTTGTGTTTTTTCCTTGAACTGAGGGTCTATCGAAAAAAAATTCTTTACCTCAATTAAGTTTTAGACATTGAAACTTTGACTATTCTATCTTGATTGAAATGTGCTTTTTAGGTGATTGATTAACTAAAAAAATTGTTTGTCTATTTTTTTGAATATTTCTATATGAATAAGGTGTTAGTATGATATAATTGAGACGTTTTTAAAAAAAATATAAGTCATAATTCACATATATAAGTTGAGTTCGACCAAATGATGATTACCAATATACCATATCGTAAAAATAATATACTATTTTTCAAAATTAAAATTATCAAATCAATACATTTTATGTACGTAAGAATCTCATTTGATTGTTATTGGTAAGTCCCCATATTATGCAAGACCCCGACGGCCCAAAACCAGGCCCAATTAAATCTGAACCTCGTAAACCCAACCACCACATACAAGAAATTCATGGTCTATGATTAAATTTGTGAAAATTGATCCACCCTTTGTTATTCTCTTTTAATCCGTTTTTTTTTTTAAATAACTCTTTCTTTTAAACAAGTTAATCTTAGCATTTCTTAGTTTCCATGACATGTTTAAGAATATAAAATTAAAGAACATTTAAATATATTAATATATTTTTAATTTAAAATCATAAAATTCAAAAAGTATTTTTTTACTTTCTAAAAATTTTGTGCCACATGAAGAGGACAATAACAATTTGTGCTTATCATGTTTAGCACCTAAACTTCAATTATTTTGATCTTTGAAAACGAAATGAGATCTTAAAAATGCGGCTTCATATTACTCCCTACGTTTCTTTTTTATTTGAAGGTTTATGGGTTCGGATTTTTAGCTTTTCTAAATTATTGAGTTTTATATTAATAATTTGTACATATTTAATAATATTTTAAAAATAAATACAAAATTTGAATCAAAGCTACTGAATTCAGTAAGATTATCAAGGTTTGATGACCAAGTTGGTGCACCGTGGACCGAGACCCAAGCTTGCACATGGGAAGATTTACTGGATCCAAAACCTCATCCGGCCAGACCCCTTTCCAATTTCCCCAACCAACTTCCCCTCAAGCCGCACCAGGCCGTTTGAAACCGTGTTTTAATTGAGCCGAGCCAACTCGACGAGACATATTATTTAAATAAAAATTAAATCTGAAGATTAATATTTCTACAAATAAAAAAAGTGGTATTCTCTTTCAATAGAGAGCACTGTAACATACAATGTATACAAGTATTATTTAGGGATAAGAGTCTGAAAAATACCTCAACTTTGGTCGGATTTGTTGTTGTGATACTAAACTTTCATGAGGACTTATTACCTCACTAGACTATTTAATACCGTATTTTAAACAAATATATTTGCCCACGTGAACATAAAAAATAATGCAAAATTATAAATAGTAATGTGTCCATGTGGGCACATATATACTTTTAAAATACACTATTAAATAGTTCAGGGGGTAAAAAATACGGTTTTAAATAGTCTAGGGAGGTAATAGGTCCTTACGAAAGTTTAGTATCGCAACAGCAAATCCGACCAAAGTTGAGGTATTTTTCAGACCATTATCCCTATTATTTGTACTTACTAATAGCTAAACGAATATATAATTTCCGCCAATTCCATGCTCTTATCTTTCTTATCTAATCTTTAGCTTTGTCATTTTTTATTTTATTTTATTATTATATATAAATAATAAAGACAAAAGATAGTCACATCAAAAGAAAGAAATTTATACCTCTATCAATTGTTTTCTTTTTCAACCAAAAAAAAGCAAACAATGCATTATTTTTTCTAGTATAGAAGTAATAAACATCGTAGTATTAGCCTTATTCACAGTTTTTATTTCTTCTGTTTACGTATGTTACCATATGATGTTATTATTACTATTCATTCTCTATATGTTTTGTATTGTTTTTCGTATTAGATGTCATATTTTCTTTATTATTTCCTCGTTCAATTTTAATTTGATATATTTGAATTGAGGATTATTCGAAAACAATCTATCTATCTCCATTATATATATATATATATACTCTACTCTTTTCAGATTCAATTTGTAAAATTATACTAAATATATTATTGTTGTTGCGATATAGAAGTGATAAAACATGAATGTTGAAACACATATCCCCTTAGAGGCCATTAGGAGACAATAAAATGAGAAAGGGGTGATAAGGACAATGATAATATGTGTGTCATGGCCCATGTAGAAAAGTGAGCTGATCTTGAAAAGGAAATGTAGAATTGATGAATGATCAACGCAATTTTAATCAAAGCCTATCCTATTTGCACAATCATACAATATGTGGAAACTTCATCTTTGGATATTTCTCTGTGTTATTATATATCTACATTTGTGTGTGTGAGGATTTTAATTTTTATATTCATTCATTTTTTGGGTTCAAAAATTTATTCTCCAGTAAAGTAGAAATAAAAGATGTAGGGACATAAAGTAGTTTGTTTGTTTCAATTCATGGGATGATGTTTAATTTAATATGGATTTTTGAGAAAATGAAAACTTTTAAAATTTGTGACTTAAAAGAAGTCAAATATTTATATGGTTATATTTCTTCTCGAGGGTAAAATGAGCATTTTAAAGTTGAATTGTTATTATTAAATAGAAGAATATGTCTTCCTTTGGAACTGACTTAAAAAAAGAGAGTGTACCATAGATTAAGACGCGGAAGGAGTACCAATTAAGTTATTTCAGTGAATCAATTCAACCAGTTTCTTATCACTAAGGATTATGATGGGATGGATAGAATTCATCATTCATTCACCTTTAATAAGAAATTTCGAATTAAAAAAAAGTAGAAGTTGGTGTATATAGAAAGCATTTCCCCTTTAATGTGTCTTACATACTATAGGAATATGAATTAATCGAGTTCCAATGCAAGTAACATACCGTGGAGTGTGAACGGCAAGTAGAGAGTTTGTCAAAACATCAACTTCTAACAGTGGCAAACGTTCAATTTGGTCTATTCTTAAAACGGATTTGCGTCAAGATAAACCATACTTAATAACTTTAACAACAATAGTATAGAAAAAGATATAAAAATAATTCCTTTCAATTAGAGTTATGTACATCCATTATGATGAGTATGCATTTACTAAATCAATATGGTTGTGGAGCAATGATGAGACTGTTTTATCCTTAATCAGAAGTTTCGGGTTCAAGTTCTGGTATGCAGAAAATCCTATTAGAAATGTCACCTCTAGAAGAGTCATGCAGTGCGCAATCCCAATTTAGTCGGGACTCCAAATACCGAATTGAAAAAAAAATTATGCATCTACTAACACACTAGCTCCATCGACATAAAAGTCTTAATTTGCTTCAAATTTTATTAAATCAAATCATCTGAACTCAGTAACTTTGATTCAAATATTATATTTATTTTAAGAATTTATTGAATATATACAAATTATTATTTAGAACGCAATAACTTGAAAATATTAGAATTAAGAATATATTCATAAGAAGTGCTCCCTGGCATAAAAGATCTTATGTAATGTAAATTATTTCAAAAATACATATCAAACACCAAATAAAATAAATCAATACACGAACACACCACCACCATGCATGTATAGAAATTATAATGATTAAGGGACCAATATAATTGACATATATATGTGTGATGAATTAGAGTCAAATATAGGCAGCTAATCGACTAACATTCTTTTGATAAGTATGGATCATAAACTTTGGAATGTCTTTTCAAACTTTAAATAAATGAATCTACCCTTTAATTAAACCCCCGCCATTGATAAGGACGTACTTGTCCTATTTTCTTTGACAACTAAGTTTAAAGATTATATTATTATTTTCCACTTACAAGTAATTTAATTTTAACCTCTCCATAATTAATCTTTGTTGAAAAATGGACAATGTGGACTCTAAAAATGACTTTTTAGGAATTATTTTCTTTTTCATAATTACTATGTCCCATTATCAAGCACAAAAGAATATTTCTTCCGGTCATTTGCTTTGGTCTTTAATTTTAGTCTCTCAAAATAAATAATCTTTTTATGTGGTACAAGCTTATATATTGCACAAGTTATACTTTGCAATCTTAATTAAAGAATTTATGCTTTACTAAACATAAATTTGACTACTTCCAAGTTTTG